TGGCATGAGGGTATGAAAACCCTAACCAGGAAACTGGCTCACATAGGTCCCGCATTAACTGCACTACGATCGCTATCCTTGTTGGTTTGGGCATGGCGAGCAGTGCGGGATAATGTGGGATAAGGTGGAATTGGCGGCAAAATGGGAAGCGAAAGCGTCAACTTTCTCGTTTGTTTGACATACAAGATCACCAAAGGAATTGCAGAAAGGGAGAAGTCGGAAGGACAGAAATTACGGGAACTTGCTTTGGCAAGGGACCAAAATGTTCGGCTACCGGTGGCGGACGAGACCAAGTTTTTGTCTTTACGGCGAACGAAGCGTTCTTTGGTTCTCTGAATCATCGTCAGGCATCTGTTCCTAGCTTGCACGAAGCGATTTTGGGAGAGGACGGGGGAGGGTGAGCGGCGCCAGTGGCAGCAGGCTGAACGTTTCAGGCGTACAGCATGGTCACATGCATGGTCAAACCACTCAAGGGATTTGGGTTTGCCGGGTTTGGAAAAGTGCGAAATAAAAAGATGCATACTTTGTAGAACAACGTGGTTGAAGTTGGAAGCGGATTTGGAAACATCCGAAGAGAAACAGCAATCGTTCCAGGAATAAGCAGCTAGGAAATCGCGGAAACCGTCCCGGTTGACTGAGCTGTAGTGCCAGAATGTGTCTCGCGGTGGGTGGTGGCTCGGAGTTTGAAAACCTAATGGAACAAGAAACAATACACTGATGTGATGAGCCAAGAGGAGGGAGGGTACGAATATCTGAGAAGAAAGAAGGGACCGAAGTGAGAATTAGATCGAGAGTCTGGGCACGATCGCCAGCTAGATCAGGGGCACGTGTGGGGAGGTCAACTGGTTGGCTCAGGTTGTTGACCAGAGCGAAGTGTTTGGCTTCTCGCCCCAACGGAGAAGTAGCGGATGAATGTGTCAGCCAGTCCTGATTGTGAACGTTAAAATCTCCCAAGATGGTAACCTGGCAGTTGGAGTCGGTTGCAAACAAATGTTCAATGTTCGAAGATAGAAAATCAAACATGGAAGAGTCACCGCTATCGGGGGAACGTTACAGAACACAAAAGTAATGATTGAAGGGAGGAAGTCGGAGTTTCAGACACAGCTGGAATTCACGATAGGAAAAGTCAAGATTTGGGATCTTGGAGGCGGTGACTGATTGATGTGAATGAAGGCACAGACACCAGCTTTGAGTAGAAAGGACGAATGGAGAGTGTAGTTGGGGAATTGAAGGTGGAGAGTGTCTGACGAGGGGGAGATTTGTGTTTCGGTCAAAAAAGGGCTAGCGGAGAAGAAGAATGGAGAAAATGGTGTAACAAAATCAATATTGCGGTTGAATCCGCGAATATTGGTGAGAGTGATGAGTGTATAGAGCGAGCGAGAGTATGTGAATGTTCGTGATTTTGTTTTGTCATGTTCATGTTGTTGTGAGGAAACCGGCAACCATGATCCTGAAACTTGGAGTGGCGGACCACATAAAACTTCAATAGATCAGGCGTGGTGGTGACCCGGACGGCGGCAGAGCCGCCTACCACCACGTTTGCTCCTTTTCTCAGTTCCAGTTTTGCACTGTATGTTTTCACGCACCGAATGCATGTGTTGTATTTCACACGCGTCAGAATCCGGACTGTGTGCAAAACAAATCACAACGGTAATCTTTACCAGAAAAGAGAAGGTTTCATGATTTGTTTGTGGGTAGATTACTACCAGGTTGGGGAATACGCAACCGGAGCCGTTGGCTATCTGAAGTCTAACCCTCAAGGTAGTGNGTGTGTGTGTGTGTGTGTGTGTGTGTGTGTGTGTGTGTGTGTGTGTGTGTGTGTGTGTGTGTGTGTGTGAAATTCATGCTAAAGCCAATGGATAAACATTGTTTTCCGCCTTATGGACACCAGGTTGAGATGCAACGAAATCGTCCTAGACGTTAATCGTGCAGTGATGTGATATGCTGTTTTCTTTTGAAACCACTCTGTTGTCCGAATTTCGTTTCACCTGCTCATTACAATACTTTCAACAGTGAAAAATACCTTTTTTCGAGATGTAATTAAGTAAGCATCCAGCATGTGATTTGATCAAAGTCATTATGGTAACAGTACCTAGTTTCACGGAAAAATTATATTTAGTGAATAACACTCACGCTGCTCATCTAACTACCGAATGCTTATAACCCTCAGCTGAATTGCCGACCTTTTACCTTGTTTTCTAGTGTCCTCATGGAGCTGACCGGGATCATCATAGGTCATATCTACTATTTCTTCACGTTCCAATATCCGCAAGAATATGGTGGACAAACGGTTCTCAAAACTCCGAATTTCCTGTAAGTTTCACCTACACACGTTGTGGTTTGTCGCATTTCCACATTCACCGAAACTCATCCGCCTGGACAACCGTGTCCCCATCCAAGTCGAGTGGGTAGTCAAATGTGAGGAGATCAGTGCTATCAGTAGAGCTTATATCCCACATATTCCTAGACGGCGTCTATGCTTAGGCGCTAAGTCCTACTAGGCTTCTGATTTCATTTCAAAATCCTAAATATTCGTTTGCGAAATACGCCTTCTAGGAANTGTGCGTTGTGTACATGGGCGGTGGTGGCCCGATGGCAACGTCACCAAATTATCACCCCGGGGATGTGTTCGAGTCCCACCACCACCGCCTAACTGTCCCCATTGTGTGTTGAAGGGAAGCCCTTTAACTGGCCTGTTCCCCCTTTCTGAAAATGGTGTTTTTGCATATTCAATAGAAGGAAGTAAAAAGAAAAGAAAATCAAATAATGATTGCTGCTACAGAATTAGCCGTCCCCGTGCCGATAACTTCTGAGTATAATATTTAAGCTATGGTTCATTATGATGTTCTACTTGTTCCTCTCTGGCAGTTATCGATTTTTCCCTAATCAACGTGGCTTTGTGTCCGGTTTCGGCCGACCTCCTGCGGCTGCATCTGGTTCCGCTTCGGCTGCTCCGACCGGCAATCCTCGTTTCCCGGGGCGGGGTCAACCTTTGGGACGGGACGAATAAACCGGATCGAAGTCAATGAAGCTGTGGACG